AAAATACTTCCTTAAAAATTAGAATAGAAATTGGAAGCTAGTGACTTTATGAGAAATCAAGACACTGTAAAACAAATCCAAAAGAATGAAAAAATAGAAAACAATGTGAAATATCTCATTGGAAAAACAACTGACCTGGAAAATAGATCCAGGAGAGAGAATTTAAAAATTATTGGACTATCTGAAAGCCATGATAAAAAAAAAAGAGCCTAGACATCATCTTTCAAGAAATTATCAAGGAAAACTGCCCTGATATTTTAGAACCAGAGGGCAAAATAGAAATTGAAAGAATCCACCAATCTCCTCCTGAAAGAGATCCCCAAAGGAAAACTCCTAGGAATATTGTAGCCAAATTCCAGAGTTCCCAGGTCAAGGAGAAAATATTGCAAGAAAAGAAAAACTCAAGTACTGTGGAAACACACTCAAGATAACACAAGATTTAGCAGCTTCTACATTAAAGGACCAGAGAGCATGGAATATAATATTCCAGAAGGCAGAGGAGATAGAATTACAACCAAGAATCACCTACACAGAAAAACTGAGTATAATCCTTGGGGGGGAAATGGTTATTTAGTGAAATAGAGGACTTTCAAGCATTCTTGATGAAAAGACCAGAGCTGAATAGAAAATTTGACTTTCAAATATAAGACTCAAGTGAAACATGAAGAGATAAACAGGAAAGAGAAATCATAAGAGACTTATTAAGGTTGAACTGTTGATGATATTTGTAACTCATGAGTCCTTTGTCAGTATTAGGGTAGTCAGAGGGAAAAAATTATATGTATGTATATATATAGATAGAGGGCACAGGGTGAGTTGAAGATGAAGAGGTGATATCTGGAAATAAAATTAAGGGATGAAGAGGATTATACTGGAGAAGGAGAAAGGGAGAGGTAGAATGGTAAATTATCTCACAAAACAGACAAGAAAAGCTTTTACAGTGGAGGGGAAATGGGAAGGTGAGAGGGAATGAGTGAATCTTATTCTCATAGGATTTGGCTTAAGGAGGGAATAACATACACACTCAATTGGGTATGGAAATCTATCTTACCCTATAGAAAAATAGGGGGGGAGGAAGGGGACAAGAGAGCAGGGGGATAATAGAAGAGAGGGTAGATTGAGGGAGAGGGTAATCAGAAGGAAACACTTCTGAAGAGGGACAGTTCAAAAGAGAGAATAGAATAAATGGGAATTGGGATAGGATGAAGGAAAATATACTTAGTTTTTCACAACATGACTACTATGGAAGTGTATAACCTATATTGAGTTGCTTGCCTTTTCAATGAGGGTGGGTGGGGAAGGAGAAAGGGAGAAAATTTAGAACCCAAAATTTTAAAAACACATGTTAAAAAAATTGTTTTCACATGCAACTGGGAAATAAGAAATATAGGAAATGGGGTTTAGAAATCTATCCTGCCCTACAGGAAAATAGAAGAGGAAGGTGATAAGAGAAGGGGGTAGAAATAGAAGGGAGGGCAGATTAGGGAAAAGGGTATACAGAATGTATGCCATCTTGGGTGGGAGGAGGGAGGAGAGGGGGAGAAAATTTGGAACTCAAAATCATGTGGAAGTGAACGTTGAAAACTAAAAATAAATAAATTTTAAAAAATAAATTAGATTTCCTCATTAACAAGCATTTACTTTCCCTTCCATCTAGTCCCTCCCCTACATTGGGAAAAAAAAAAGAAACAAAATCTTTGTAACAGAAATGCAGTCAAGTAAAATAAATTCACACATCAGTCATGTCCAAAAACATATGCCTCGTTCTTCACCTTAAATCCATCCCTTCTCTATTAGGAGATAGATAACATTCTTCATTATTGGTTCACTGGAATCTTTGTTGGTCATTGTGCTGATCAGAGTTCTTAAATTTTTCAAAGTTTTTCCTTTTTTGTTTTTGTTTTTAGCGTTGTTATTGTTTAAATCCTCCTGGTTCTTCTCATGTCACTCTGCATCAGTTCATACAACTCCATTGTATGCAATTCTTAATGATTCTCACATTGGGTTATTTTAGCCCATGTCTAGAAGCTGCACCAACTTCTTGAAGATTCACCTTTGTAGAATCACAGACTAAGAGCCAGAAGAGTTCCCAGAGACCATCTGGGAACTTTCACATACAAGGAAACTGAGTCTCAAAGAGGCTAAATAATTTGCCCATAGGTAGTACGTGACAGAGCTACCATTGACACATGGGGCTTCTATGTTTTTTCCACTGCACTGCATCTTTCTCTTCAACAAAAATTCTAGCTCAACAGAATAGGACACTAGACTTGGTTAGGAGGATCTGAGTTCAACTCTCATCTCAGACACTAGTGTATGATACTGGACAAGTCACATCTTCCCTGTGACTCCATTTCCTTATCTGGAAAATGAAGATGTTGGATTCCTTGGCCTCTGAGAGTCCTTCTGGTTCTAAAATCTATAATCCTATAATAGGTTGTCACTTAATTCTAACCCACTTTGCCACCATTGGCACAGTGACTCATCTAGCATTTTATTATTAGAGTTGAAGTCTGTTTGAAGTCTTTGCTCAAAGAGAAGATCAAAGTCATCTGGTGTCAGCTCTCATTTCATAGCCTTCCTCTGTTTACTCTTCATTTATTTTAATCACCTCCCAATCAGGTTGTGCAGTGAAGCTTTCTAACTTTGATGCAATCATAGATCAAGACAAAGCCTTTAAGTTATTGAAATGATTCCATCTGTGGGCTGGAACCCACATTAGGGCTTCCATTCTATCAATCCAGTTCAACAGCCATTATTCAACACCTGTCATGTGCCTAGTAGCACTGTGATAGACCCTAGGAACATGAACATGATCAACAACATAGTTTCTGCCCTCAGAGAGCATATGCTCTAAGAGGAGTGGATAAGATATATACACAACTGTAGAGAGTAATAAAGACAAAAGAGAAATCCAGGCAATATACCCTAAGACATCTGAGGAGGGAGAGACTGTTTTTAGCTAATGTACTCGCAGAAGGCTTCATGGAAGAGGTCTCATCTGAGCTGCCCTTGAAAGAAGAGAAAAATTTTAACGGCGAGACATGTAGAGACAGAAGGGGCAAAGGAAAAACGGAGAGTTGTTCAATTTGCTTGGAACAAAGTACGTGAAGAGGAGTCAAAAAGTAGGTTAAGAGCAGAAAGTGGGAGAGGAGCCTTACGTGCCAGGCTTAGGAGTTGGTATTTTATCCCATGAACCTAGGAAGCAAATGAAGATTTTTTTTTTAGCAGGGAGATGACCTGGTCAGACCCATAAATTAAGAATATTATTTTGGAAATTGTATGAAAAAATTGATGGAAGTAGAAACTAGAAATAAGAAAGATCAACTGGGAAGCCATCATCCTGGGTGAGAGATCATGAGAGCCTGAATTAGAATGATTGCAATGTAAGTAGAGAAAAGGGGATGAATGTAAGAGATATTGCTAAGACACAAGCAACAGGATTAGGACATGATTGGATGGGGGATGGTTTGGGAGAGGGAACCAATAGAAGTTTATATGCAAACATATATGTCTATAGATATTTGCATATAATCTTTAAATGTGTACATAGATGTGTAGGTGCATGTCTTAAAAACAAAATTCATAATAGAAATCTACAATAAATAAATAAAAGCACCCCCCTTTCTATTCCTTTTCATATATTAAAATATTTGTATTTGTTGATGATGAAGTTTACAATAAAAAAGAAAAAACATTCAAGGAGGTAACTCATCTTTTTTATTTTTATTTTTTTTACTTTTTATTAAAAGAGGTAACTCATGTTAGGTATAACTAGGTGGTGCAGTGGATAGAGCACCAGGCCTGGAGTTAGAAAGATCAGAGTTCAAATGAGGCCTTAGATACTTATTAGCTGTGTAATCCTGGGCAAGTTACTTTACACCTATTTGTCTCAGGCCCTCATCTGTAAAATGGGGACACACTGGAAAAGGAAATGGCAAGCCATTCTAGTATCTTTGTCAAGAAAACCCCATGGACAAGCCCAGGAGGCTGGTCACGAAGAGTGGGACACAACTGAACAACAGCTCATCTTAGATCAAGTGTTCTTAACCTGGGGTCCATTTATTTAAAAATACTTATTTTGGTAACTGTATTTCAATGTAATTAACTTCCTTTGTAATCCTACATGCTTTATTTTGCGCATTTAAAAACATTCTGAGAAGGGGTCCGTGGGCTGCCCTAGGCCACCAAAGGGATTCATGATATCCAAACAGGTGAAGCTCCCCTGCAGCTTGCCATGGTGGATAAAGAGCTGGCTTTAAAGCCAAAAAGACCTGAGTGCATGATGCTGAGTGAAGTGAGCAGAACCAGGAGAACATTGTACACAGTGATAGCAACACTGTGTGTGATCAACTGTGATTGACTCAGCTCTTCTCAGCACCACAGTGATCCAAGACAATTCCAAAAGACTCGTGATGGAAAATGCTATCCATAGCCAGAGAAAGAACTATGGAGTCTGAATGCAGATCGAAGCAGATTATTTTCACTTTTTCTTTCTTTGTGGCTTTTCCCTTTTGCTCTGTTTCTTCTTTCACAACATTTTTACATGTATAACCTGTATCAGATTGCTTGCTGTCTTAGGGCAGGGGGATGGGAGGGAGGGAGAAAAAATTTGAAACTCAAACTCTTACGTAAAATGAATGTTGAAAATTATCTTTATACGTAACTGGAAAAAATAAAATACTATTTACCGAAAAAAAGACCCAAGTTTAAGTGCCAATTTTGACCCATACTGGCTGTGACTCTGGGCAAGTTACTTAATCTCTCTGTGCTTTAAGCCAGAGGTGTCAAATACTCAATCCTTCTGAGTGAGACCCAAATCAGATTAAAATGTAATTGGGAAGTATTTAACAAAATAAATAAAAATATAACAAAACAGGTAATATTAATATGTTTTTCTAAGTCAGCATGCTACCCATAGGGAGCCTTTTATATGGTTCTATTTGAAGCATTATTCTAGGCAATTCTCTGAAATGATGAATTTCAGAAAAGGTGCTTACCTGCATTGGTAGAGGGACTGTTTTTTAGTCCAATGCCTCCATCGAACTCATAGGCTTTGATCTTGGATGCTGGGGAGATCATTGATGCTATGAAAAGTATGAGAGATGTTGAGAGGAAGAGCAGATTTGAGGGAAGGTGATAAGTTTAGTTTTGGGCATGCTGAGTTTGAGGCACTAGTGGGATAACCAGATGGAAATATTTATGACACAGTTAGTGGGGCTGGAACTGAAGGGAGAGACTAAACCTTTGATATGTAGATTTGGAACAATAGCTTATATTTATTTACAAGATACTTTAAGAATAACAAAGACCTCTATCCAGTACAAACCTGTGAGATAAGTAGTCCAAATATTTTTGTCTTCATTTTGCAGGTGAGGTAACTAAGGCTCTAGGAGATGAAGTAACTTATCCAAGGTCATTGTCATTAGATTTTGAAGATGACCAATGACATCATGTGTGTGAATTAAATTTAAGTGAGGCAGCATTGCACAAAGTCACAATCTCATTCCCTCTTGCAGGGTCATCAAAGACCAGCGGCAGGACAAAAGTCAAGATAACTGGAAATGGCCCAGGTGACACAGCTAGTCCATGTCAGAGCTTGAACTACCTACCTGGACTTCAAGTCTATGACTCTTTTAACCAACATGTGTTGGAATATTTTAGTAACTAAAACCATGGGAGTGAACAAAATTACACAAGGGGGAAGAGTAATGAGAGGAGGAAAGGTCGGAGAATGTTGAGGGACATCTATACTTATGGAGTAAAAGAAGCAAGATAAACCAATGAAGGGAACTAAGAAGAACTAGAAGAGAAACAGAAGAGAACAGTGTCAGGGAAACCAAAGGAGAAGAGGGTGTCTAGGAAGAGAAGGGCAAATACTGCAAAGAGAAGGATGGAGACCGAGGAAAGGACAGGAGGTATTGGACCATTGATGGTTTTGGAGAGAGGAGTTTTAGTAAAGTGGTGGGATCAGAAGCCAGGCTGCAGAGCCTTACTGCATGGATGAGGGATGAAGAAAAGAGAGCATCAAATATGGACTACTCTTCCTAGCACTTTAGCAGTGAAGGGGAGGAGAGATGGGATAAATATTTGAAGGGATAGCATGGTGGAGGGAAGGCTGTTTAAGGATAGTAAAGGGCCTCTTTCTCTTCTGCTTTCCATCTGTCTCCACTTCCTTCTCTGCAAATCAGACATCCTTAAGGACCAACTGAAACCAAAGGAGTTTTAAAGTAGTTTGGAGATAAAAAGAAAAAAAGAAAGGGAATGAGAAAAAAGGACAAAATTGGAGGGGAAAGAAAGACAGAAATTAAGGTCCTTGGGAGTCTGCAGATGGTCCTTTCTAGATGCATAATTACATGAGGCTCATCATAGCTTAGGGACCACCCACAGGTGGAAACCAAGTGGGTAGAGTCACCATCGCTATGGTATAAAATCACTTTGCAGAGATCCAGGGAATATGTGAAGCAAAAAACCAAACCAAAACAAAATGGACCCATTTAAGAACTGATTCACAGAAGGGAATTTTCTGATGTGATTCACAGAATGGGGAAAATGAAAAAAAGCTAATACTGAAAAAACAGGAAGTTCTAAGCTACCTAAAGGGCAGTGAGGAGGCACAGTGGATAGAGTGCCAGGCCTGAAATCAGGAAAACTCATCTTCCTGAGTTCAAATCTGGCCTCAGACACTTACTAGCTGTGTGACCCTGGGCATGCCACTTCCTCAATTTCCTCATCTGTAAAATGAGCTGGAGAAGGAAATGGCAAACTGCTACAGTATCTTTGCCAAAAAACCCCCAAACAAACCCCAATGGGTTCATGAAGAGTCAGACACAACTGAAATGACTCAAAAACAATAACAAACTACCCAAGTCATCCTCACCAACAGTTTCTTCTTTGCCTTCAGACGAATGGCTGGATCTCAGATCCACTGGTTAGGACTAAATGTTAGTATGTGGGGAATAGACATCCCCACAGAAGAGAGATAGGTATAAGGAGTCATAGTGTTTGAAATTCTATCTGATTGGGTTATACTACTTAAATATGAAACACCCAAAAGGATGTAGATTTCAGGAGCAGTGTTCACAGGTAGACCTAAAAGATGGAAGGAGCAAATAAATACTAAAAAGGAAGAAGAGATTGCTTTATATCAGGGGATCTTAACCTTTGTTATGTACTGGAGCCCTTTGGCAGTCTGGTGAAGTCTCTGGACTTAGAATAATATTTTAAGATGAATAAAATAAAATACACAGATTACAAAGGAAAAATATTATATATTTATATATTTTATATTATATAAAGATGTAATTTTTCTCATCCAAGTTCATATACCCTCTGAAACCTATCCTGTGGACCCCAGGTTAAGGTCCCCTACTCTATAGGAAGATAGCTATTTGGTTACCACTTAGAAAATTCTATGTTTTCTATTCTGATGAGTGCTGAAGTTAAGACTTAACCTGTCCTGACGACACATAGCAGAGCACCCAAGAACTAAAACAGAAGAGAACCTTAGTTCCTCAGGCCCCTGTCTCCCTGAGTGCTCCTTTCAGAGGCATGCAGGCATCTAGCCCTAACCAGGTAGTTCATTGTATGAGGTGTGTGATGCCTAGATGCCTAAATTGGAGATGTGAACAGTGAACTTAAGAGGCACTGTGGGGTAGTGACTGGAGGTTAGTCCAAGAATAGAGATGGTTACAGGGGCAAAGCCAAGTCTTGACCCCAAATTGTCTGTTTCCTGTCCAGAATTTTTCTGCTAAACCTCATTGATTTCTGTGGTTTGATTGGTCATAAAAATCCTAAAAATGGCAGCAAGACCAGAGATCCCACAAGAGACAAGCTATGGCTAGAGAGGAAAGAACTGTGAACATAGGCAGGCTAAGTCAGTCAGTAAGCATTTCTTCAGTGCTACCCATGTGCCTGACATTGTGCTAAGTGCTAGGGATTCAGATAAAAAATATAAACAAACCCTGCCCTCTAGGAGCTTATCTCTTAACGGGGAAGACATGGATAAATAAAGAGGTACATATGAGATTCATACAGAGTAGGGGGAGGTAATCTCAGAGGGGAAAGTTTGAGCAGCTGGAAGAACAGGGGTAGCATTTGAATTCAGTCTTTGAAGGAAGCTAAGGATGAGAAGGAAAAGCTTTTCAGCATGAGGGTCAGCCAGTGCAATGCATGGGGGTAGGAGAGGGAGGGCTGAGCAAGGAACAGCAGGCAGCCAGTGTGTCTGGTCACAGAGTACATAGAAGAGAGGTAAGAATAAGAAGACTGGAAAGGTAGGAAGGAGCTAAGAGGTGAAGAGCTTTATATAGAAAAAGGAATAGATAGACAGACAGACAGACAGACAGATAGACAGACAGATAGATAGACAGATAGATAGATAGATAGATAGACAGATAGACAGATAGATACATAGATAGATAGACAGATAGACAGATAGATAGGCAGACAGACAGAAAGATAGTTGTCATTGTTGTTATTCAGTTGTGTCTGACTCTGTGACTCCATTTGGGGTTTTCTTGGCAGTTATACTGGAGTGATTTGCCATTTCCTTTTGCAACTTATTTTACAGATGAGGAAACTGAAGCAAACAGAGTTAAGTGACTTGTTCAGAGTCACACAGCTAGTAAGTGTCTCAGGCCAAATTTGAACTCAGGAAGATGAGTCTTCTTGACTCCAGGCCCAGTGCTCTAACTACTGCTCTTCTTAACTGATAGATAGATACATGCACATATACATATATATTTATATATGTATACATATATACACACACAAATATATATATATATATGTATACATGCACATACATGAATGTATGTAAAATTTCCTAGAGATAATAGGGTATCACTTAGAATAGGAATGGCATGGTTAGACCTATGCTTTAGGAAGGTGACTTTGGCAGCTGACTAGAAGACGGATTGAGGATTAGTGCAATTGACCATAGAAGACATGATGGGGGCCTGAACTAGGGTGGTGGCTATGTGAGAGGAAAGTAGTGGATGATGGGAAGGTAGTAACCAGAAGATCTGACAACAAAGTGGGTATGTGAAATGAGTAAGAAGATGGCATCATTACAAACCTGGGGTGACTGGAAAAATTGTATCCTTGACATTAATATGGAAGTTGGGAAGAGGAGAAAGTTTTTTGGGGAAAGATATTGAATTTTGTTTTGGACATAATGAATTTGAGATGTTTATGGGACATCTAGTTCTAGATGTCCAATAGACCATTGGTGATATGAGACTGGAACTGGGAGAGACCAAGGCTAGATATAGAGATCTTGGAATCACCTGTATAAAGATGATCATTGAACTCATGAGAAATGATGAGATCACCAAGTGAGAGAGTACAGAAAGAAAAGAGAAGTAGGATGAGGACAGAGCCTTAGGGGACACCTACGGTTAGTGGGCATGGCAAGGATGAAGACCAAGCAAGTGGGACTGAGAAAACTTGGTCAGACAGGAAGGAAGAGGGATCACAAAAAACCCTGAGAGAAGAGAGTATCCAAGAGGAGAAGGTAATCAACGGTATCAATGATGTCAAGAGTTCAAGAAGGATGAAAACTGAAAAAAGGTCATTAGATCTGACAAATAAAGATCACCGATACCTTTGGAGACAGAAGTTTCCATTGAATAATGAGATCAGATGCCAAATTGCATTGATTTAAGAAGAGAGGAAGTTCAGGTACTGAGCATAGATGGCTGTTTCTGGGACTTTAGATGAGGAGAGGATGATGCCTAGTAGGGATGCTACTACAAATAGTAGGCACTAATGAAGGAGCTAGTAGATAGGCAAAGATTTAATATCAGAGAGACTGGGATTAGAGTGGCAGTAACCTGTTGGGGAAGAGGAGAGGTTCCTAGCTTGAATTTTTCATGCATCTGAAAAGAGGGGAGGTGAAACTCCATTGGAAGGACATACTAGCCAAGACAGTTGTATGGATTGGAAAGGACATTGGGTCTGGGTTTGAATTCCAGCTCAGATGACATATGAACAAGTGCAAATCACTTAAATCCTGTTTCTCCATTTTACAAATGGAATAATTCTCAAGACTACCTAACTTATGACCTATTGTAAGGAAAGTGCTAGGAGTCATTCTTATAATAGATGAGTAAGTTTAAATGTTTAACAGAAAATTGACAGACTGACAATAGCCTGGAGGAAAGAATTAAGGCTCTGGCCTTGTGTTAACTTGATTCCATCACTTTTCAGAGACTTTTTTCATTATTTTTTACAATGAGGGTCATAATAACTTCCTTATTTACCTTATGGAAAATATTGGAGTATATGATAAGTAAAATGAAGGGTTTGAAATATATCAGCGGTTCTCAGGACCCCTTTACCTTCTTAAAAATTAGAAGACCCACCCCACCAAGAGCTTTTGTTTATGTGGGTTATATCTGCTGATATTTACTGTATTAGAAATTAAAATGTCTTACTACTATTATATAAAAGTAGTCTTGAACTCATGGACCTGCTGGAATGGTCTCTGGGACACCCAGGAGTTACTAGACAACACTTTGAGAATCTCTTCCAGTTCTGATGTTCTGTGCTCTAAGGCACCTCCCACCTTGGACATTCTTTGTTCTAAGATCAGTTCCAACTCTGACATTCTGTCTCCTGAGGGCCCTCTATCACTCTATGCTCTATCAAGACTTGAAATCTGTTGAAAAGGTGCCATAGAAACCCAAGGTCATGTCTTTTAAAAACTCTTGGACATCCCATTTGAAGTTTTCACCTTCTGCGTTGTGGGTCTGCTCTTAATGACTGGCTCCTCACTTCATACTTTTCAGGAGATTCTTGTACCTCTTAATCTAAGCATCAGACTTCTCCTAAATACCAGGTAAGACCTGGAACAGAGAAAGTCCCTGGCAGTGTTCTCCTTTTGGGAAGTAATTAGTGTCATTGCTGTATTGGAATAGGCTACCACTGCAGCAGCAGGCTTTTATGGGCTATTGAATAGAGACTCTCTGGGCTCATAAAGGAAATGGCATTTAAAAAAAATAAAGGTAGTCAAAGGGGAAGCCATTACCTAAATTCGGTTTGAATTTGAATATGGGGAGTTAGTAAGAAGTGACTCAGGATTTCAATGGCCTTGAGGGGGAACATAGAGTCAGACTGGAGGATATTATTTAAAACTATTAGGAATTTAGAGATAGAGGCGTACAAAAAAAGGACTGGTCTGGGAGATAGAAGTGCTGGGTTCTAGTACTGACTCTGCTACTAATTGGCTGTGTGTCCTTGAGAAAATGAGTAAACCTCTCTGGGCCTAGGTTTCCCCATCTATAAAATAAGGGATTTGAGGAACACTGGGTTTGAATCCCATTTCTTCTACTCACTGCTTTGTGATCTTAGACAAGACATTTTATTTCTATGGGCTTCTGCTTCTACGGGCTTCCTGATCTCACCCCTTTCCATTTTCTAGCCTTCTTTCTACTCCACTTGGTGCACACTGTATTATAGAATTTCATTACTTACGTCTCAGGAGGATCTTCCCCATCTTTTTTCCCCAATTCAATGACTCCTTACTCCTTAAGATTCTACCTCCTCCTTCAAGGCCCATCTCTGGTACAATGCCTCTTCCAGAAAGCCTTCCCAGGTTTCCCTTTCTAAAAATGTTCTCTTCCACCTCATGCTGTGGAAAGAATGCTACACAGAGAATCAGAGGGACCTGGGATTGAATCCTGGCTCTGATACTTGCTACCTAGGAGACCTTGGACAAGTCACTAGATTTCTCTGAACCTCATTTTCCTCATCCACAAAATGAGAAAGTTGGAGCTGGCGATCTCTAAGGATTCTTTTCCTTATAAATCTATGTATTAATTTAAATTTTCTTAGAATGTTTGTCCAAATCTCTTTTCTGCCTCCATCATACTCTTATCTGTGTACATATTGTACCATACCCTTCCTACTACCCAGGTAGGTTTTATATAAGGTCCTTGAGGGCAAAAACTTTGTCATTAAAAAAACACACGCACACACACACACACCACTTTATTTCACCAGTGCTGATGAGCAGGGTACCTTGCAGGTAGAAGGAACTGGAATCTTTGTACTTAATGAATGAATAAATTAGTAAAATGAGGAGATTGAACAATCTTAATGTCCCTTCTGACTCTAAAGCCTGTGTGACCTACTTGAGGATTAAAAGATCTCTAAGAGCCTTCCTACCTGTACTAGTTAATGATTACATACATGGCAAAGTAATTCTGTCATGGAGGTCTTTCAGCTCTTGGCATTCGGGATAAGCAGTAGCTGCCAGGGAGCCCAAGTGGAGTCATTCAGCTCACGTTCTGTGGCAAGTGAGCGGCTATGTTTTGCAGAAGACTGTTGTTCCTGGGTGACTTGAAATGGTCATCCTTGGCAGGGCTCCTGCTGTTGTCTGGTCTGTATGGATTGTGAAAGTGTCTAGGTTTGCATATGAAAAAAAAGCGGACTGCAGCTGGTACATTGGAAAGACTGGATCGGGGATCCAAGGACTGGGGTTACATCCTTGCTTTGTCATTTGCTACCCATGGGATTTTGTTCTCGGTTTCCTCATTTGCATGATGGAAAAAGAGATGCAGTGACTAAATAAGCTGATGGCAACACCAGAACTAGAACGTAGGTCTTCTGACCAGAGTTAATGACTAGGAATTTTGGTGCCTGAGGAAAATTCAGTTGAATGAAGAAAGGGAGGAGATAGGGGACAGTATGCCTTGGTTGGGTGCAGTCACTGCGGGAGAAGAAGCAGCTCATTCCCCAGCCCTAACCCCTGTAGCAGAGCCAGTGATCCATGACTTCCCACCCCTGGAACGAAGTGAGGCAGAGAAAGAGTGGTAGGTAAAAAGTGTGAAAGGTGGAATCTCAGGAGTGATCCTTTAAGGCAGAGGAGTGGTAGGCTTACTGCTTAGCACAGTGTCTGGCACATGATAGACAATTAACAAATATTGATTGATTGATTAATTATTGATTGTTTGGGGAAGAAGCCACTGCCTAGAGGAAGTATACTTCCTAGATGTCAACATGCTGGAGGAAAGCCCAAGAGACATTGCCCTAGTTATGGACCTGTTCCTAACTCACAGGCTCTTTTCCTTACCTTTCCTAAGATTACCTTTGTGACCAAGTCTATTCGTTGATAAAGCAATTGCTTATATTGCATAATTACCTTTCAAAAAAAAGCTCACTATTTAAACATCTTCTTGCTTGGAAAATCCACTTATTGTGGGGAAAAGTCAGTTTCCTTATGTGAACATAAAAATAATGCTACAAAAGGTCAATAGTTTTTGTTGATATTTATGGTACAACTAATCAAGTGGAATCCTGGAACAACACAAAGTATCTTCAATGAAATTTATGGCAATGTGAAAGCTACTAGCTAGCCATCCACAGTGAAATGACAAAGTGGATGAAAAGTGCATTTTGTTGAGATAATGACATGCTACTAGAAAGCCCATCAAATAAATCCATCATTTGGATAACCAAAAAGTGACTTACTCCTGCTAACATGCAAGGTTAGTAAGCAAAGACATTAATAATGATGTGAGTAGGAAGGAAGGGTGACTTTTGCAAAGGCTTGTTTTACAGAGAGAGTGCACAACAGCTGCCTGCATGTTAGACAAAGGGGAAATGTCAGGAAAGAAATGAGATTATTTTGTCTGTTTGGCTAGGATTGGAAGAAGCTCTGGGACTTTATACAAAAATATTGCCCAAGTGGCCCCTTCATGAGAGATCTGTTTCCTTTACTTTTAGTAAATGTTAAAGGGACTCCTACTGAAATTTTTGCTTTGGGCTCAAGAATTGAAGTTGACATTCTTGGTTTGGACAAGAGAATATTCTGAAAGCATCTGTCAAGAGGCAGAAAACGTCCAGATGTCATTGAATCCCAAAAGAAGTGAGTTGATTTTTTTTACAACTTGAAGCAATATTTGTTTTACATTCTACTCTCATGGGATATGTCAGCTGATTTTTATAAAAGTATTTACTTTTTCTTTCAATAAATCAAATATTTTGGAAGTTCTTAAGATGTGCAGAGGTACAACACAGGACACCTCTGTATTGGTTCCAAATATTCAGCATAAACATATTTATATTTATATTTATGTAGGTTTTAAGTACTGAATTATAGTTTTTACAAAGTAAATTAACCTTTACATATATATATATGTATATATATATGTATATATATATATATATATATATGTAAATCAAATGACCTAATGCTATGTACCTTTGTGTTACTATAATGTCTTCTGACCAAAAAAATCATAATAAGATTAGAGGGCAAGGATATTAATCTAAAGGTACTTCCTATAGATGCCCGCTTGCAGTATAGCACCTTGCTCAGAAGATGCGGGGAATTTCTATGATTGGTTCTAAGTAATAGTGGCTCTTTCTAAGCTGATCAATGACAGAGACTCAGGAGAGACAGACTCTTGTTGGAAGAGCTATCCTTCCTCCTTGTCCTGTGAAAGCAAACTGTGAAATGTCTTGCCCCTTCCTTTTTAAATATTTTCTCTCCATTGGACTTTCAGACCAGAGTTCCGTAAGGGTAGAGGGAGAATACTCTCCCTTGCCCTCCCTGCCTCCTCTAGGTTAAAATGGAGCCTTGAGGAAGAAGCACCTGGCAAATGGCCTGTGTTTGTCTAGGTCAACAAACTGTGGCTTGTGGGTCAAATCCAGCCTTCTTTCTGCTTGTTTTCGTGGCCAGTGAACTAGGAATGATTTTTATGTGTTAAAATTAAGTTTTATTGTGTTTTAAAATCTAAAAACCGTTCTTAGCTGTCAGGCCATACCAAAATAGGCCATGCTGTATTTGGTCCTAGGTTTGTAGTTTGCTGACCCTTGATCTAGATGAACCTGAAAGGGGAGGTCCCGGACTTCCAAATCTTGGCTACCTTTGTCTGCCTTTCCGTTTCCCTTTCTGAGCACAGGTCAGAGACTAAGATTCTTGAGAATGTTGATTTTTTTTCCCCTGCGCATATTTGAGAGGTCCTAAAGGCATAGTGAACATAGTGGATGCAGCACTGGGCCTGGAGCCAGGAAGACCCAAGTTCCAATGTGACCTCAGACCCTCGCTGGCTATGTGACTTACCTTCTGTTTGCCTTTATCCACCAGAGAAGGAAATGGCAAACCACTCCAATAAAACTCCATACTGGGTCACAAAGAGTCTGATACAACTGAACGACAACAAAAGATTGAAAGTCCCTGAGTTTAATCATTTGGATATGGACTGCCTAGAGTAGTAGTTTTTTTGGTTTTGTTTTGTTTTTAGGCAATTGAGGTTAAGTGACTTGCCCAGGGTCACACAGCTAGTAAGTGTCAAGTGTTTGGTCTGAAGCCGGATTTGAGCTCAGGTCCTCCTGACTTCAGGGCGGGTGCTCTATCCACTGTACCACCTAGCTGCCCCTAAAGTAGTAGTTTCAAAGTGGACGCTGAGGTACCCAGGGCGGACTTGGCCTGATCCCTAGGGATGTGTGGTCAACCAATTGGAGGGTGGGAAGGTGGGTCGCATCCTATACTTTCCCTGATAAACAACTGTTGGGTTG